CCAATTTCCTCACCAGGGATTGAACCTGTATCCCCTGCATTGGGAGTTCAGGGTCTTAACCACTGGACCGCCAGGGAAGTCCCAGTTTCCTCATAATAGAGGAGCAGTAAAGATGCCTATTCCACAGAGCTGCTACAAAAACCATATGCAATAACTCAAGTGTGTGGCATGACATCTGTCACACTGTAATTGTTCAATAAATGCATTAACAAGATGTACTCAGCACTGAGCAGTCAATACCTGTTATCAGTCAGAAGATCTTCAGTTACTTTTTTCCCTGTGAATTTGTGTCTGTTCCCCATCTTAAAGTTGAGTGTTTTCCGAAGACGTCTTTGTCTACGTGAACAGTAGCCCCTGTAAAAAACCACAACCAAAAAACCATTCAGCTAAGCTGACAGTACTTTCAACAGTAAGTTCTGTAATAAGGCAAGGTCAAAAGTTTGGGATATTCTATTTATGGTTGCCCTCTTGCAAATGTTTACTGAATGGAAACATGCAAGGCAGAATGACTGGTATTACAGAAAACATGAAGAGACAGAGGACATGGTACCCATTCTCAAAGAACCACACTCAAGCTGGAGAGAATCATGAAGATAAAATGGCAAATTGAAAGTGACCCAAGTAACCTTTCTCTTCTTGTTAACCCCCTTCCCTGGCGTGGACTTATGGTGGGCTTTGAAAGAATGAGTAGGATTCTGATGGATGTAAAAGGGAAGAAGCGGCATCCTGACAGAGACTGTGATGACAAGGAAGACATGGAGAAAGGAACTACAAGCATATCTGAAGAAAAATGAGGTGAACGAGGATATCACCAAGAAATATGATAAACATCACCTCTTATGCCAAGACTCTCTCTTCTCTACTCATGCAGTTTTTAATTCTTACTTCTACTATAGTTTGAGAATATTATAATCATGTTCTTAAGTCTCTCACTAATATAAACTCCTTGAGTACAAAGATGATTTTATTTTCAAATTTCTCCCAGTGTCTTGGCACAGTGCCTAACATATACATGCGCAATAAAAGTATCTTGACTAAGCTAGTGTAAAAATACATACAAAATTTTACCACTCTTACTCAAAACAGCATAAAATTTACAATATAAAATGATATTTAAACGGTAACTTCAACATCTCAGTCTTAAAGCTACCGAGGAACAGGTTACTAAAAAAAAAGTATGACTGAATCTATGAACTATAGGTCTTTTTCCTCAATTCATAATCATGCTTTAATTATCATTTACCCTTTGACATAAAAATCAAATGGAACACGCACATTATGGCTAGAAATGTAAATTGGTAAAAATTTTCTGGCAATCCATTTATCAAGATCCTTAAAAATGTTCATTCTTCCTGAACTGACAGTCTACCTTTACACTAAAGAAATAATCAGAAATACAAAGAGGAATGATCAGAGATTCAAGGGAACAGAATTTTTAAGCCTACAAAACTGGCTACCATATAAATAACCAACTCAGGGGAATAGGTAAATAAACTATGGTATGTCTATATAGTTGATATAGATATATGTCAGGTTATAACACAACTAATAAAAAATCACATGTATAGAACATTTTTACAAGCATGGAGAAATACTTAATACATAATGTTCGGCAAGAGAGTAGGATATAAAGCTGTACACACAATGTGAGCAAACTTGTGGGAAAAACACGTAGGAAAAGACTAGAAGAACAAAAATACTATTTGGTAGGCACACATACACAAATATATTTATGTACTGAAAGACAGAAATATAGACTAAAATGTACACAAAGTCATTTTTATGTTCTATTTTACTACCAAAAAATCTAATTGAAAATTCAACATTAAAAAGATTAATAATAACTAGGAAAAAAGAAAAACCAAAATTGGAGTCCCAACAGCCATTCAACTAGGGGATAAAAGCAGACTATGGTTCAGCCCTGCAATGGATTACCACTGAGTAATATGTTAGGTGAGAGAATCTGGACACGAAAGGCCATGTTCCGGAAAAAGCAAAACTACAAGGACAGGAATCAGAACAGCAAATGCCAAGAGCTGGGATATAACCCAGATGTTGTAACATGGTTATATTTAAAAAAAAAAAGATCACCATAATTCCTTGTTATTTTCGCCCGAAGCTTCCATGTATCTGCAACATCTTAAGGCAAAATGGATAAAAAGATTAGCTCTTTTTAAATTTGAAAATCAAGTATCTTTTTGAGGATTTGATATAAGTTAAGAATTAGACTTTCCAGGTATACTTTCTGGTAAGGCACAGTAGGGAGGGTAGTAACAAAGGCAAACCAAGTTTGAAAAAGCCAGAGATGTCTATACACCTTGCAAGTGACACTAACCTGTACCTCTGAAAGTCTCCATGCCGTAAACCGTGCTGCTGCTGGGATTCCTTTATAATCTGAAGAACTAGAGTCCAGATTAAGGAAAAGCTTCCAGTGCCAAGAATCCAAATAACCCAAAACATTTATCCACATTAGCAACAGTAATCTATATTTGCATCAAATCACAGCTCATTCAACATTTCTAAAATGCTTAGTACATTAACTAGTGAAATCTCTAGTGACCATTTGCAATAGCTGCCTTGTCAGAGGATAGGGCTAAGCATGTAAAAAACCTGATAGCCTGAACTTTCATTTACTACTTTAAACTAAAAAAGGAGGGCATCCTTAGTCATTGAGGATTAATGAGACCCAACAGTTTAAATATAAAGCTGCTGGATTCTACTGATAAATGCTGACTACACTTGGGGTGGTTCCCAGTGATTTACACCTGGGCCTAGTGTTTTTACTCATTTCAGCAGACTCAGGTTATAAATGATGTGTACTACTACTCTATTTGTATAACCTTCTACAACGGCCAAACCTGACTTTGCTTAACAGCTGTGATGCTGTCTGCACCTAAGGTGAGCACATGCCGACCACAGCAGGTCACAGTTTGCATTAAAATACCAGTTTTTCTTTTAAAAGAAAAAGCACTGACCAAATTCTCCTCTTCAAGAATTTTAAAATATTTTAAGATTATGTCCCAAACTTTGGGAAGTCCGATGACCTTTGCGTACCATTTTAGTTTTCTTTTAAAGTTTCCTCAATGCTTCTTTATAGGTATATTTTAAAACACTGAACAATGAAAGGGCTATTTCAACAACTAAAAAGAGACCAGCATGTACAAGATCTATAGTAAAATCAGAGCATTCTAACATCCATTTGGAATGACATCACCAGTTCAAAAAGTAAAACTTCAATCTGCTGAAAAACTTCAGTATGTTAAAAAGTCAAGCTAAACGTACTATTTCAGAAATTCGCCTGTTTTCATTTCAAAAAGCCACAAACTAATATCATAAACACTCAACTGTGATACACTGATGAAAACTAGAAACCGATTCCTCAACAGCTCATCTGAATGACTCTCGACAAGACAAAATGCCTACGAGACATATTAAGAGAACTACACAAGTAACCTTAACAATCTTCGATGATTTATATTCAAAATGGGCAACAAGCTTTTTCCTTGGAACAGTCAACCTTCGCCTTCACTTGCACAGCATCAAACTGTAGTTTTTACTATGCACTCTCCGACGGCTGTCAGAATTATCAAGCCAAAACGTCGAGACTGCAGTTTCCCTCTCCCCACTTCAGCGACCCCAGGTGCCAAGTTCATCATAGTGGTCAGTGTCAGCCCCACCACCAGCCCCCCCAAACTGGACAACTGCGGGGAAACTGCCGAAAACTGCCCCATTTTCTGGTGCCGCCTGAAAGAGAACGTTCCCCAGCGCGGAGGGCAGAGGAGATGTGAAGAAAAGCCAGTCGAAGAGCAGACCCTGGAACTGTTAAGTGCCCAAAAGTAGGGGCGAGAAGAAGTGCAGCCCCCGGCCTCTCCTCCCAGGATGCGCCGGACCCGCCGCCTCTCCCGCCCGCCAGATCGACACGTAGTCATTGCCGAGTTAGGCCCGACTGATGTAGGATACTCTCCAAACTCAGGCTATCCCCGAATTCTTTGTGTGCCTTCGACCCAGCCGAAGGCCGCTCGTTTTCCTTATTTTCCTCTCCTCCGGCGCTGCGTCCACCACCGCTACCGCCGCTGCCCCCGCCGCTAGTGCCGCCTCCGCCGCCGCCTCCGGGAACCTGCTTCTCAGCAGCCATCTTGCCCCTGCGCCGCAGAGCAGGACGGGATAGAGGAGGCGAGACGACGCGGGTGGAGAGCCCGGCCGGCTCGGACTGGCTGACGGGATAGCAGCGGACTCCGCCGCCTACGGCCCTGCCCGCAGGCAACGGCCACTTGCGGTAGCGCGCCTGCGCGTGGACGCCGATTCTGGGTCTGCAGCAGTGGCGGGATTAGGGCTGGGGGCCCTGTAGGCGCGAGGACGCTGTAGCTGTTAAGGTCTCTTGGAGGCAGCCTTCCTTGGATGGAGGGCCCTGAGATGCTCCGCCCGCCCCCACCTCCTGCATCCCTGCGCGGGAGACCCCGTTGGATAAGACCTTTGCTTTCCGGAGTGTCTTCCTCCCTGGGAACCTGGGAGATGGGATTCCCACCCTAAGGAAGGAAACACCCCGCCTGGGAGGGGACAGCCTCTGTCTGCGCCGTCCTCTGGAGCCGGCCGTAATGCAGGAACTCTCAGCTGCATGGGGATCTGTGCCTTTCTTTGGACTTTGGGGCGCGCTTGAGCAGTCCGAGCAAAGAGAAGTGTTGAAGTGTGGAAGACTGTGAACCTTTGCTCTGCAGTATGGCACTGCGAGCTCTAATTCTAGCTCTGTCGTCACGACTGGGAGATGTTGGGCAAATAGCCGAATCTGTCTCTAAACCTTTCTTCCCTCATCTGTGAATGTGTGAAAGTGGCACAATCGTGTCCGACTCTTGGTGACCCTATGGACTGTAGCCCGCCAAGCTCCTCTGTCCATAGAATTCTCCAGGCCAGAATACGGGAGTGGAGTGGGTAGCTGTTCCCTTCTCCAGGGGATCTGCCTGACCCGGGGATGGAACACAGATCCTGCATTGCCAGCAGATTCTTTACCGACTGAGCCACCAGAGAAGCTCCAGTTAGGACTGTTATGAAGACTAAATGAAATGGTGCATTTTTGAAGTAAGTCTGCAGTAATCATTAGAAAGGAGAGTGTTAGTCAGTCAGTCATGTCCAACTCTTTGTGACCCCATGGACTGTAGCCCGCCAGGTTCCTCTGCCCATGGGATTTCCCAGGCAAGAATACTGGAGTGGGTTGCCATTCCTTTCTCTAGGGGATGTTCCCGACCCAGGGATCAAACCTGGGTCTCCTGCACTGCAGGCAGATTCTTTACCGTCTGAGCCACCAGATGTTAGGCACTAATCATTCAGTTCAGTTCAGTTCAGTCGCTCAGTCGTGTCCAACTCTGCGACCCCATGAATCGCAGCACGCCAGGCCTCCCTGTCCATCACAAACTCCCAGAGTTTACTCAAACACATGTCCATGTGACCGCATGTCGAGTCAGTGATGCCATCCAGCTGTCTCATCCTCTGTCGTCCCCTTCTCCTGCCCCCAATCCCTCAATCCCTCCCAGCATCAGGGTCTTTTCCAGTGAGTCAACTCTTCTCATGAGGTGGCCAAAGTATTGGAGTTTCAGCTTCAGCATCAGTCCTTTCACTGAACACTCAGGACTGATCTGCCTTAGGATGGACTGGTTGGATCTCCTTGCAGTCCAAGGGACTCTCAAGAGTCTTCTCCAACACTACAGTTCAAAAGCATCAATTCTTCGGCACTCAGCTTTCTTCACAGTCCAACTCTCACATCCATACATGACTACTGGAAAAACCTTAGCTTTGACTAGACGGACTTTTGTTGGCAAAGTAATGCCTCTGCTTTTTAAAATGCTATCTAGGTTGGTCATAACTTTCCTTCCAAGGAGTAAGCGTCTTTTAATTTCATGGCTGCAATCACCATCTGCAGTGATTTTGGAGCCCCCCAAAATAAAGTCTGACACTGTTTCCCCATCTATTTCCCATGAAGTGATGGGACCAGATGCCATGATCTTAGTTTTCTGAATGAATCATTAGGGAAATGCAAATCAAAACCACCATGAGCCATCACTTCACATCCATTAGAAGGGCTACTATTGTTAAAATAACAGTACTAGAAAATAACATGTATTGGTGAGGATATGGAGAAATTGTAACTGCAGCACTTTTAGTGGAAATATAAAGTGGTACATCCACAGTGGAAGACAGTGTGGCAGCTCTTCAGGAAATTAAAAGAATTACCATATGCTCCAGCCATTCCACTTCTGGGTATATGTGCAAAAGAACTAAAGGCGGGGTCTTGAGATACTTGTACACCAACGTTTAAACCAGCATTAACAATAGCCAGCAGATGGAAGCAACTCAGTGGTCCTCAAGGAATAAGCAAAATATGGTCTAATCCCTACAATGGAATATCATTCAGCCTTAAAAAGGAAGGAAATTCTGACACTGCTACAACATGATTGAAGTTTGAAAATATTGTGCTAAGTAAGCCAGTCATCCAAAGACAGACATGGTAGGATTCCACTTATATGAGGTATGTAGTGTAGTGAAATTCATAGAAAGTAGACTGGTGGTTGCCAGGGGCTGGAGGAAGGGGAAATGGTGAGATAGTGTTTAATGTGTATAGAGTCTCAGTTTTGCAAGATCAAAAAGTTCTGGAGATTGGTTGCACACCAATGTGAATATTCTTTTTTTTTTTAATATTCTTAACATTACTGAACTGCACACAAAATGTTTAAAGTGGCAAACTGTTTTTTTATATTTTACCATGACTAAAAATAATTTCTAGGGAATTCCCTAGTAGTCCAGTGGTTAGGACTCTACACTTTCACTGCCAAGAGCGTGGGTTCAGTCCTTGGTTGGAGAACTAAAAAACCCCACAAGCCATACAATATGGCCAAAGTTTTTTTAAAAAAATTAAAACAGTTCAGTTGCTCAGTCCTGTCCAACTCTGCGACCCCATGGACTGAAGCACGCCAGGCTTCCCTGTCCATCACCAACTCCCAGAGCTTGCTCAAATTCATGTCCATCGAGTTGGTGATGCCATACATCTATCTCATCCTCTGTTGTTCTCTTCTCCTGCCTTCAGTCTTTCCCAGCATCAGGGTCTATTCCAGTGAGTCAGTTCTTCACATCAAGTGGCCAAAGTATTGGTGTTTCAGTTTCAGCATCAGTCCTTCCAATGAGTATTCAGGACTGATTTCCTTTAGGATGGACTGGTTGGATCTCCTTGCAGCCCAAGGGACTCTTCAAGAGTCTTCTCCAACACCACAGTTCAAAAGCATCAATTCTTCGGCACTCAGCTTTCTCTATAGTTCAACTCTCACATCCATACATAACTACTGAAAAAACCATAGGTCTGACTAGACGGACCTTTGTTGGCAAGGTAAAAAAAAAATAATAATAGTTTTTTTAATAAAGTTAAGTATGGGACTTCCCTGGTAGTCGTGGTTAAGACTCCGAACTTCCTGCTCTGAACCAGCAGGGGGCACTGGTTCAATCATGTCTGGTTAGGGAACTGAGATCCTACATGGCTGGGGGGTGATGGCAAGGAGGGGTGGTGGGGAGAAGGGGAAAAAAAAAAAAGTCTCCTAAATGTCTATCAACAAATGAATCGGATAAACAAAATGTAATTATTACACAATGGGACATTATTTGGCCATAAAAAGGAATGAAGTACTTACTGATAACATTGCAGATGAATCTTGAAAACTTTAGGCTAAGTGAAAGAAGTTATACACAAAAGGTCACTTGTGTGATTCCATTCATATAAAATGTCTGGAACAGGCAAAGCTATAGATTCAAGTGGGGAAGAAGAGCCCAGGGAAAGTTCGGGGCTCGTGTAGGAGTGCTTATCAAGAAAAGAAAATGCCCTTCTGGAAACTCCAACCTGTAATTAACTGACAGCAAGAACCTTTCAGAGCTTCCCTAAAGGCTCAAGTGGTAAAGAGTCTGCCTGCAAAGCTGGAGACCCAAGAGGCTTGGGTTCGATCCCTGGGTAGGCAAGAGCCCCTGGAAGAGAAAATGGCCTGGAAAAATTCTGTGGGGTGGCTGGAAAAGAGATTATATACATAGAGACAGAAAGAGTGGTGGACTCGGGTTAAAAGGTGATTTCTTTTGGCAGGAACAAAAATGTCTCAAGATTGATTGTGGTGCTGTTTGCACAACTTAGTGACTATACTAAAAAGCAAACACTGTATATGAGTAAACTGCATGGTGTGTGAATTATATTGCAATAAAGCCTTTTTTTTTTTTTTTTAAGTAAGATCATGTTTAGTCCTCTGGTCAAAACTCTGCCATTGCTTCTCTTTTTACTCCGACTAGAAGCTTTCCTCACAATGGAAAAAAATCCTGCATGCTGTGCCTCTCACGTTCTCTCCTACCAATCTCCTTGTTCATTCAACTCAAGCCATACCTCCTCCTTGCTTAGGGACACAAACACACTCCTGCTTTAGGGCCTGTGCACTGGCTATTCTATCTGGAATTCAAGTCCCTTAGATATCAGCTAGGCTAGCTCCCTCTCCTCATTTAAGTCTTTGCTCAAATGTTACCTTCTTAATGAGGTCTGCTTGACCACCCCATTTTCAATTGCACCATCACCTCCACTCCAGTACTCCTAGTTCCCTCACTCTATAATTTACTTTTCCTGCAAGTACTTATCAACTGATTAATAACTTGAGTTACATTTATTGTCTCTCTCCCCTGCTAGAAAGGAAGCTCACAAAGGGCCTTGATCTTTGTAGAGCTCACTGGTAAGTCCCCAGGACCCAGAACAGTGCCTGGAAATGAGTAGGTGCTCTATAAATGTGTATTGAATAAATGAATGGCAAGCATCTCAGAAAAATGAATGGTTATTGTCTTCCTAATCCATGAATAAGCAGGCAGGGTAGAGGTGTGAATAAGCTTTCCTTACTGAGAGGAGCAAACAGCTGGGCTTCTGAGGCTGAGGTTCTGGGTGAGGGTGAGTGGAAAAAGGAAGTTTTTGACTAGGACCCCAGGAACAGGACTGGAGAAGGAAATGGCAATCCACTCCAGTATTCTTGCCTGGAGAATCCCATGGACAGAGAAGCCTGGCCGGGCTACAGTCCATGGGGTCACAAAGAGTTGGACACGACTGAGCGACTAAACCACCAACATGTCAACATCATAAATAAATATTTAAGTGTTTTTGCAACCTAAACAGCCTCCTGGCTGTCTTAGAAAATGCTGCTGATGCATATCAATAGCTCTGCTGCAGTTTGTTTAATGTGGCTGTGCCTGCGGGATCTGAGTTCCGTGACCCTGGCCGCCTGCACTGGCAGTGTGGAATCTTAACTATTGGACCACTGGGGAAGTCTCAGTTCTGCTGTTTTGTGTTTCCGTTTTATTTCACCTTGTTGGATATCTGAACAGAGTAAGGAAAAAGAGAAGAGTTTGATTCATTCAGATTCTACCAACTGGCCTCAGGTTTCACACACACATCTCCTCCCATTCTCATCAGAGCCCTCTAGAAGGTGTTATTAGCCCACATTGTAATATTGAGGAAACGGAGGCAGGGCGCCAGGAACCGAGCCTGACAGACAGAAGATGCTCAGTAAACTTTTACTGGACTGACCTGAAGTGGGAAGCGCTCAGTGGGAGAGAGAAGGGAACAAAATCCTTCCACCTTTCCCTCGTCTGTTCCCTGGGGTTCCTGTGAGGCGCGATGCTCCTGGGAATTAAAAGCGGGAAGAGGCGTGGAGCACGCGCCAATGGCATCCCACTCGCCAGGTCGGGAAAACTGCAGCCCCCCCGCCCAATCCGCCCCCACTCCTCGTCACCCCCACCTCCACACTTTAGGGGGCACCTGGAACTCTCTGGAGGACGCCCCCCAGCCTACCCCGGGAGATCCGGCGCGCCCGCAAGGCTGCAGCGAAGCACAGAAGCGCGCCGGGTAGAGGGCAGGCGCACCCGCAGGTCCCGGCGGTCGGTCCCTCCGGCGTCTGCCCGGGAGGTCAGTTCGCTGCTCAGCTCGGCACAGCCCGCAGCCGGAGGCTGGAGCGCGCCGACGACGCCGGAGGGCCGGAACGCGCTCGGCCCTCGACCCCGGGGTGGGCTGCCTGTGCCTTGGCCAGGGCGCGCCGGGGCCCCTGGGCAGCCCTTCCCCCGGCGCGGTCGGCCGCCAGCGGGATCATCCCCCACTTCGGCGGCTCGCTCCTCCCCTTATTCCCAGCGCACCCCCTTCTCCTGCCCCAGCCGCTGCGAGGCTCACTCCTCCCGCAGCTCCGCCGAGTCGCGCCGGGCGCTGCGGCGGCTGAAGCCCCGGAGCGGCGGCTCGCCAGGACCCAGACGGCTGCCGGAGCCCAGGCAGCCCCGGGGCCGGCGGCACCATGAACGGCTCGGGTGGCCTGGACACCGAGGACACGAGCGAGGCGGGAGGAGGGGGCAGCGGGCAGCCTGAGGCGGTCATCGTGCCCACTCTCTTTGCGCTCATCTTCCTCGTAGGCACCGTAGGCAACGCACTGGTGCTGGCCGTGCTGCTTCGCGGTGGCCAGGCGGTGAGCACGACCAACCTGTTCATCCTCAATCTGGGCGTGGCCGACCTGTGTTTCATCCTGTGCTGCGTGCCCTTCCAGGCCACCATCTACACCCTGGACGACTGGGTGTTTGGGTCGCTGCTTTGCAAAGCGGTGCACTTCCTCATCTTCCTCACCATGCACGCCAGCAGCTTCACGCTGGCCGCCGTCTCCCTGGACCGGTGAGCTGGCGTCCCAGGGGGTCGGGCACGCAGGCTGGGGCTGAGGAAGGGGGCTGGACTTGAGGGTCAAGGAGAGATGTGCAGAGAGGAGAGAAAGAAGGCTAGGAAGGGAGGGGCACCAGGAGGGAGTGAAAGACAAGCAGGTGTGTCGGAGGAAAATGAGGAAGGAGAATGGGGGACCTTGGTGTCTCTCTGTTAGGTGCTTCCTCAGGGACTCCAGGCTCCTCAGGAACTCAGCACCTCAGCTTTTCAGCCCATCATTGTCTGAAAAAGCATAGTGTTTCCGGGTACGAAGCGTTTTCCCATGCTGTGTTTCTTTTGAGGGTCAAGGCCCCTGGGAGGCTGGGACAGGAGGGATTGCTGTACCCAGTTCAGAGACCAAACTGGGCTTAGAAGTGATTTGCTCAGAGTGGCCCATCCTGTAATCCCGTGCCTGAAGCCAGCAGTCTGACTCCTTTCGTCAAGCTCAGGCACCTCCACCTCTCTGGCCTCCAAACCACAGTTTGCTCGGCACAGACTACTCTGGCTCCGACTGCAGAATCTGGGTCCTTTGTGAGGGCCCACGCCAAACTCCAAGCAAGCCCGCCCAAGGGGCCCTAGGTTGCTCCCACCCTACCCCACCCCACCTCTGCGCCCTACCAACAGGCCTGGAGTCAAGGGCAGGAGAGGAGTGGGCCCAAGGGTCCCCCTGAATGCTGAAGCTTGGAAGAACACCGGGATGAATCCTGGCCTGACTCTGCTATCTCCCTGACCCCCTCCGTCCTCACATTCCTTCTCTGGACAGGCAGCGAGGTGAAGCCACATTCCCCATGCACCGACCCCCACCCCCCCCAGTTCCAACCGTGTCAGTTCCCACAGCGCTAGTGGGATCCACAGAGCACCGGGTTCTCCAAGAAATCCATCCCCTCTCTACCTTGCCTGAGGCGTCTCCAGGTTGTCTCTTAGAGCGTCAGTGCGCCTGGGTCCTACCTCTGGGGGCAACATCACTGGTGAGACATCACAGCCTGCCAGAGCCTCGAAGCAGGTTTAATCTTGGGGGTGCCCGCCCGGGTGGAGTCTGACAGTGATCGTAGTCTCAGAAAGAACAGGCAGCCTTTTCTGCTGCCGAGTCCGGCCCCACGTTTGGGCGCGGCTGAGGGTGTCCCGGATGGGATGCTGTGGCGCACTCTGGGCCTGTGCGGCCTCACGCTGCGCTAGAGCACTTCCCAGACGGTGAGTGTGGGACTCGAGGTGGAGGGGTCCGGCCCTGCTCCCGCGAATCCCGCCGGCTCACCTGCCGTCTCGCTTTCTGGCCTGACCCGCAGGTATCTGGCCATCCGCTATCCACTGCACTCCCGCGAGCTGCGCACGCCTCGCAACGCGATGGCGGCCATCGCTCTCATCTGGGGGCTCTCACTGCTCTTCTCCGGGCCCTACCTGAGCTACTACCGCCAGTCCCGGTTAGCCAACCTGACGGTGTGCCACCCGGCGTGGAGCGCGCCGCGCCGCCGCGCCATGGACCTCTGCACCTTTGTCTTCAGCTATCTGCTGCCAGTCCTGGTGCTCGGCCTGACCTACGCGCGCACCCTGCGCTACCTCTGGCGCGCCGTCGACCCGGTGGCCGCCGGCTCGGGGGCCCGGCGCGCCAAGCGTAAAGTGACGCGTATGATCATCATCGTGGCCGCACTCTTCTGCCTCTGCTGGATGCCTCACCACGCGCTGATCCTCTGCGTGTGGTTCGGCCGCTTCCCTCTTACGCGCGCCACTTACGCGCTGCGTATCCTCTCGCACCTGGTCTCCTATGCTAACTCCTGCGTCAACCCCATCGTCTACGCTCTCGTCTCCAAGCACTTCCGCAAGGGTTTCCGAGAGATCTGCGCGGGCCTGCTGCGCCGCGCCCCGCGCAGAGCCTCGGGCCGCGTGTGCGTCGCGCCCCGGGGCCCCCACGGCGGCAGCGTGCTGGAGCGCGAGTCCACTGACCTGACGCACGTGAGCGAGGCCGCTGGGCCCTCTGCCCCTGTGCCGGCGCCTCTCCGCGGCCAGTCATCCAGCCCCGTCCCCGACCTGTCCTGGAGGGACCCAAAGGCCCCCAAAGGCATCTTGACAGCTAATTTGACCTGCGGGCACTTAGAGGGTACGCTTGGGTGTTGAAAGATTGGAGTCAGAGGCTGGGGGATTGTGGAGGGAATTTCATTTGTTAATAAAACGCGCGAACCATTCTACATGCTGTGGCACGCTGTCTCTGCCTGTCTCAGGGGCCCCAGGCTCCCTGGTGAGAAGCCTCTGGGACTTCCCAGGGGAGCTCTGGATGGATGAGTACAAGAGAGGGGCCTGCACATAAGGTAGCAGAGTTAAAATCCGAGTAGAAATCCCTAATGGATGCTGGGGAGCGTGGGACGACCTAAGATGACCTGAGGCTCTTTGCACGTGGTCATCTGGATACGCCAGGTGTATATAGACCGAGAAAACAGCAGCTGCCAGTGAGCGGCACAAAAGCAAGCTGACTGTTGGAGCGCGCTGGACAAATCAGCTGATAACAGACTTGGCAGACTTGGACACTATGTGTGTTCTCATTAGCGTTTGTGTACAGGCGTGTGGCAGGTCCTCGCCTGTTGCCAGCTCTCTGAGGCCCTATGGAGTCACACCAACCAGATCAGCCAACCTAACCACCTTCAGCCCTTGCGTTTCCTTCCCTCCCTGCAGCTGTCTGGGACCTGGTCTCCAAGGCAGGTTTATCCTTAGGCTAGAAAAGTCACCCCCACAGCCATTGGTCCTGTTCCAGGGTGCACAGTGGTGTTTCTAAGGCACTGCTGGCCTGGGGCAGCCTGAGAAAACCGCGGGAAACAGCAATACCCCAGGGGCTTTGGTCAGAAGCTAGCCTCTGCCTGTCCCCAGGTTTGCCCCACTTCTGGATCCTTGAGCCAAGGCCTTTTACCTGAAAGTAGTTGTTTGAGGAGAGGCAGGGAAATCTTCAAGGGTGTGCCACCTTCACATGGTTGGGCACAGTGCACTGTGGTGAGGGTTTGGGTACTTAGCCAGGCAGGTGCCTGCTGTGGAAACCCAGGCTGCACCTGCCTAGATTGGCAGGACCTTGTCAGGGAAAGGTGTGTGTGTGTTTAGGCAGGGGCCCCATGCTTGCCTCATCTGCTTGGCATCTTGAATGTGAACACTGGTTCCAGGTGGTGGAAATGGAGCGGGGACCTGGAAGCCTGGGCAGATGCAAGCTGGGCAGGGCTGGGTCCTGAGCTTTGTCTTTGGGTGTTTGCGGAACCTGGGGTACAGGTGTGCCAAGTCTGAGGCTCCAGGGTCGTTGCACAGAACAGCTGCCTCCAACCAACTGCCCAGTCCCCCAGAGAAGTGACTGAAATAGAGGTTGTAGTCTAGGCGCTGCTGCTCCATCCAGCCCCTCCGCGTAGCCTCTCATGATGGCCCTGCGGCTCCTGCTCCATCTCGCCTTCCTCGGGCTGGGAACCACTCAGCCTTTGGCTCATCAGCAGAGCTTTAGTGCGCCAGCGTTTGGTAGGTAGAGAGCATAAGGCCTTGAGCTTTGGGATTTGGGTCCCAAGGCACAGGGTGACCTCGACCTCCATCCTTCAGACTGGCCATCCCTCTCCAACCTCAACTCACCCCAGGAGGTTCCGGATCCCATCCAGATTCCGAGCAATGGAAGCAAGCCCCTGGTGGTGGATGTGCATGTGTTCGTGTCCAACGTGTTTAATGTGGTGAGTGTCCTGAGGACCCGGGGGCCCCAAGTACTGAGCTGGAGATGGAACAGGACTCAGCCTAGTGAACGCCCGGGTCTCCTGCCTTCTTGCCACATGGCGCCCACCCCCGAGGTGACACACTGCTCCCCGCCCCACCCAGGACATCCTCCGGTACACAGTGTCCTCCACGTTGCTGCTTCGGCTGGTGAGCATCCATGGGGGGGGGGGCGGTGCTGAAGAAGGGAGAGACCCCTGTGAGTCCAGCACGGAAGTACTGGCCTTTGTCAACCTGCTAAGCCCAGGGGCACATATACACAGAGAGAGGGAGCCTTAGTAGCATCCTTGTGTCCCCAGTCCTGGCTGGACACACGCCTGGCCTTGAACTCAACTGGGCACCAGCAGAACACAGTCACGCTGCCCTGGGATGTGCTCTGGATGCCGAGACTCACTGTTCGGGAGGCGTAAGTGAGGCGGGGGTTGTTTTCCCTGGCACGGGCCAGGCGCAGCTTCCGCTATTACTCCTCTGGAGATGGGAGGTCCTCTTACTGAAGATCCCCCTCCTGGTGGCCCTGCCGGACCACTGGCACAACTCCCGGGCCCTGTGGGGCCCTACCTTCTAGAACCCCGAGGGCAGTGGATGGCAGCTGGGAACATGCTGGGGTTCCACCTCCTCCCCCTTCTGAGGGGGTGCCTGTCCCTCTGCAGCCTATGGGTGAACTGGCAGGACAAGAACCCACAGGCCCGTGTAGACAGGGACGGCCGCATCGAGTTCCACCTGGCCCTCACCACGGAGACCAACTGCGACTTTGAGCTCTTCCACTTCCCCAGGGACCAGAGCGACTGCCATCTCAGCTTCTTCGCTTTCAGCAGCACTGGTGCTGACAGGACAGGAGCTGGGGGATGAGGGGAGAGGGGAGGGGAAGCCTCTGGCCCCCAGCTAACACCTGACCTGGGGGACCAGGCCTGTGTTCACACCCATCTACCCCCCGGCTTAGGGGACCTGGGCACGCTTCTTTCACTCCGTATTTCCCACTGGAATAGCAGCTGCATCTCCCGGTCCTCCCCTGCTGTAGGTTGTGGGCCCCTCATCTTCTTCCCTCACCCCCAAAGCAATGGCTCCCAACAGCCAGGGCCAAACTGCACACTTGTGTCCAGAGAGGCGCAGGCTGCTGCAGCCTCATTCCTGGAAACATCCTGAAGGTGGAGCCACCCACTGAATAGCCCACAAACCCAGCAGGTGATGTTCATCTTGGCAGAGTAGTCCCACCTTCCCTTCCATCCCTCCCCTCTGGGAAATACCACAGCTGCCACCCCATGAATCCGAGTATTTCAGGTGTGAGATGATATACCGGTGAGCGAGTCTGTGACCATGTCCCCTGCCCCTCTGTGAAGTGGTGCAAAGTACGTTTATTTTTACAATGAAAATTCATTTTATGAATCTGAGATGGCCCTTCCTCTAAGTGGAGAAAACTTGGGGTATTGCAAAATCAGTTTGGAAAGCCCTTGGACAGACCAGCTTCCAAGTCTGCCCCCAGCAACCATCAGAGGGCTCCATCATCCCCGGGCTCCAGTCCATCCCTGCCCCTACTCCCAAGAGACATGGAGGCACAGGGTATTTCTTTCTGAGTTCACCATTCTCACCCCTCCCGCTTCAGTGACAGAGCTGGAGTTCCAGGTCCACGCAGTGAACGAGATTGTGAGTGTCAAGAGGGAGTTCATGGTTCAGGATCTGAAAATCCAAATCCCGTCCCAGCAGCTGGTACCCTGCTTCCAGGTGACGGTGAGTTGGGAGGTGGCTACTGAGGGCTGAGGGGGGTGTTGGGGACGCACAACCAGAGGCCATGGCCTCACTCTTCTATGCCCACCCCCTGGAACGCCCTGGCTTCCTTCCAGTTGCGCCTGCAGAACACAGCACTAAAGGCCATCTTAACGCTCCTGGTCCCCGGGGAGGCGCTGCTGTTGGCTGACCTGTGTGGGGGGCTGCTGCCCCTCCAGACTGAGCGCATCGCCTACAAGGTGACCCTGCTTCTGAGCTACCTTGTCTTCCACTCCTCCATGATGCAGGCCCTGCCCAGCTCCTCCTCCTGCAACCCCCTGCTAGGTAAGGCTCCAGCCCTCGCTCGGCCCGGGGCCTCTGCTCAGGTCCCGGGGCCCGCAAGGCCAGACCTGGCTCCTGACCTCTCTTCTCCACCCCATCTCCAGTTTACTACTTCACTGTCCTGCTGCTGCTGCTCTTTGTCAGCACCACCGAGACTGTGCTATTGGCCGGGCTCCTGGCCCGGGGCAACCTCAGGGCAGAGGACAGCCGCAATCCAGTGCTGAATGGGGAGCAGCAAGACCATGGGAAGCCAGGGTCTAACCCTGAAGGTGGGCAGGGCTGGGGCCCCTTCCTGGTGGGTGGAGGAGCAGGCCTAGGGGCAGAGCTGGCAGACTGGGGCTGCAGGTCACCGGGCTCTTTAGAGGTTCCTGCACCCACCTCTGCCAGCTCCTTTGACCGGACTCCACCGTGGCTGTGCTTAGAAGCAGCAGGTGTGGAGCAGGGAGCAGAATCAGCCGCCCTAAGGCCCAGTGACTTCAGACTCCCTGGGCTTCCCAGGTGGCATTAGGGGTATAGAGCCTGCCTGCCAATGCAGGAGACGTGAGACATGAGTTCCATCCCTGGGTCGGGAAGGAGGGCATGGCAACCCACTCCAGTATTCCTGTCTGGAGAATCCCATGGACAGAGGAGCCTGGTGGGCTACAATCCGTGGGGTCACAAAGAGTCAGACGTGACTGAAGTGACTTAGCACAGGATAACCCTGTGCCTTGCACAGCCTGTCTCAGAGGGCATTTCTTCAACTCACGATGATCTAGAAGGAGCCAGACCCGAATGTTCGTTAGTTGTGACTCTGATGAAGGGGGACACAGACTAGCACTCTCTGGGGTTCACCCTTGTGCACATGCAGAGCGTGCAGTATGTCTTCTTTCACTCTTCCTGTCCACACAGAAGCCCCCGGAGCAGGGAAGGGGTCCAGAAGGAGCTGGGCTGAGGCTGCTGACCACATCTTCTTCCAGGTGTATGTGGTAGGGGTGGCGTGTAGCCAGTTCATCTTCATTGTGCTCTGGATGTGGGCGACGTGCAAGTCGGACCCAGCCCCTGGAGCGGCTGCACCCCATGGCGGGCAGCCCCGGCTGTAATGGGCAGGGCCCAGGGCTGCAGATGTGGGGGGGGAGGGCTGTGATGGGGCCTCTGGAGGGGGAGGGAAGTGGACTCTCTTCCCTCAGCCTGGAGGACCCCAGGCCACCCCGAGCTCTCCTTCCTGTTAGCACATAAGCAAGGAGTGTGGAATAAACACATCACTTCAGGGCAAGGGCGCCTCTGGGGTCTGGCTTCATTTTTGCGCTCAGCTGTTCACTCTTGTTGGAGTAGGTGGGGCCCTATCTCACGTCCCCAAGCCCTGCTCTGCTCCAGACCGTCTCACCACTGTCCGCTGGTCACCCCATCCCCACACACCACCTAACTGCTCCTGCAACCGCTGCTGCTTGGCCCCGGGCCAGGAGCACTGGAGCCCCAGAGACAGGCCTGGGATGGTCAGGACCCCTTCTGTGAATTCCGGCCAAGTGCTCAGAGGGCAGGGAGAGCACTTCTACTCCAGCCACCGGGACTCACCTCGGGGGCAGAACCCCCCAGGCGGCAGGACTGTGGGGATGGGGCAGGCATTTTCTGCAATGAGTCTGAGAGCAGGTCAACCCCCTTGCTTTTCTGCAGGGCCTGGGGCTGTGGTGTGGCCTGCTCCTCTGAGCCTGACCCTCAGGCCTGGGCTGACGGGCGTTCTCCACCCCAGTCCCGAGCTGGCCCGAGGCAGGGCTACTCAGCAGCCCTCCTCCTCCCATCCCGCGAGGCAGCTGTGGGCACAGACCTCCGTCTCCCTTCTCTGTCCTTCTCGTCTTGAAGCCATCCCATGGCTGCTGCAGGCCGTGGTCAGGATCATGAACCCCAAGGTGTGGAGGAACCCCAAAGTTCTGGGAGAGCACTGCCTGGGTAGGGAATGGGGGCTGCGAGAGGAAGGGCAGAACAGGACTCGGGGGCGGGGCTCCTGGCCGGGTGGCAGAGAAAGGCCCCTGTCGCAAAGGACGCCACACTCACCCAGCCCAGAGGCAAGTCCACACCTGTTTATCTGTCCAGTGACACGGCTGCTCTGGCAGAGCCAGGCAGGGGCAGCGGCAGCTCAGGCCGAGGTGTCAAAGAGGCGATCGATCATGTCCCCCACCTGCTCCACGCGGTACTTGATGTACTTCTCCGGGTTCTTGGTGAAGGGCACGCTGCCATACCTGCCCAGGTGCTGAGGTCAGCGGGGGCAGGCCGAGCCCCTCCCCAGCTCTGCCTCAGCCTAAGGCCGTCCTAACGGGGTGCCCCTCAGTCATGTTTTGGTCTGGCCCCACACCAAAGCCATGGGCGCTGGGTCTGCCACCCGAACCCACCACCCTCTCTCCATGTTTTCTCAAGGAAAAGAGCCCAGAGGTCCAGTTGGGGAAGAGGGGGAGCATGGGGCTGGGAAGGCAGTGATGGAGAGCTCACCTGCTTAGAAAGGCCCCGTAGGTCTCCTTAACGATGCTCTTCTGGGCTTGGCGGATCTTGTCCCTCTGCTCCGTGTCGGGAATCGCCCAGGCCTTCTGGATCTTGCACAACTCCTCAAGGCCATCGTTGAAACCCTGGCCACCGAACAGGGAGAAATAGCAGTGACCCAGAGACAAATGTTTGGGTCTGTGTTGCTACAGGAGCGGCATCAATCGATGGAGGGGAGAATATCCTGACTTACCTTAAAACGCTCCTTGATCATCTGCCGCTCCTTGTCCCGAAGCTGGGGGGCCAGGGGAGATGGCAGACAAAGCGGAGCTCAGAGCAGAGGCGCCCTGCCCCTGGCTCCTACCCCCAACACCCACACCCAGGCTCCTTCCCTTCTGCCCTCCGGGCCACAGGCATCCTTGCTTTCTCATCCTGGCTGTTTATTTTTTTCCCAGAGAGACAACACAAAGCACTAGCCATCCCTCCCCTTCCCAGCCCAGGCCGTCAGCCCACCTTGACTCCAGGTTGGACCACAGGTAGATTCTTCTCAGCAATGTAGTCAGTCACCTTTAACCAACTGCCAGGCAGGGAGGGAAGCACAGGGCAGAAAATGGACAGCCTCAGGCTCCTGCTCCCTTTCCTGGGGCAGGATGGTTTTGTTTTTTTAAAAATCTCTTGATCTACTGGGGTAGGTGATGAGGGCAGGGATCAGTCCAGGTCAAAACTAAGCAGAACACAGCTGAGATTTTTTTTTTCCCCCCTTGGGAATAAAAATGTTCAAGCTGCTCGCTTTTAAAATTAAGGACAGGAAACAGAGCACTCAATAAATTGATCAAGCACTACCAACTGCACTTCACGTCAGTATCACAGCCAATTAAGATGGAGAAGCAGATGACAAAGGAGGCGCAGAGAACAGGTAAACAGGAAGGAAGGAAGAGATACAGTCACAGGGAAGAAACACCCAAAGGGAGAGAGACACACAAACTAGGAAGCAGGAGGAGAGGACCAGAGACAGCCCCGGAGAGCAAGGCTCAGCCAAGTCCAAGGGCCCTTGCGACCTTGCTCTTTGCTTGGCCAAGATGTTACCTACATCTCTGACAGTCAACCATTCTGAGCCATCACCCTTGGCAGACGACCCTTCAACAGGCTGGCAAAGCGCCACTCCCCACCAAGGAGTAGGGGGTGGGAGGGGGCTTCCCACCCCCCCACACATGTGATTAAAAAGCAGAGGACTGGGGTCTATGGGGCAGCAGCTCCCTATCGCTGATGCCACTCTGACCGGGCGCAGCGTCCCCAGGCTCTGGGAAGGGACATGAGTGGTGGGCACACAGGCCGGGGGTCGGGGTTGGGGGGGTCCCCACCTGCGCTGGTAGGTCTGGATCTGTTGCTCTATGTGCTCCCGATAGGAGCGCTCAGCAGTCTTCTGGGTCACAGCCACCAGCTGGATCAGCTCGGACCTGGGGCGGGAGCAGCGGGGAGAGGAGAGAGGGGAGGCCCAACAGGCTGCCGGTGGGGCCTGCCTCCCACCTCCCTGGGCCTTGGGCCCACCAAGGGTAAAGGGGTGCCCTCCCCACCGGGACACCAGGGGGCACAGCCATCCCCAGGAGGCCGGGCAGAGGCAGGTGAGAGCCGCAGAGCAGCCCCCGCGGCCACTTACTTCTCCAGGGCCTTGAGGATGTAGTTGTAGTTGTTGTGCAGGAAGATGGCGCTCAGAGCCGGGTCCTCATACACCTTGGACTTGCTCAGCAGGTTCAACTGCAGGTTGCCCAGGACTTTACCTGCACAGGGAAGGATGTGGTCACTTACCAACCATGGCAGTCTGATCTGCAAACCAACTCCCACTCGTCGCGCCTTGTCCCTCCCGGACCCGAGACTCTGCCAGACTTGAGAGCCCTTGGCCCAGCCCCCACAGCCCCCCAACCAGAGGCTAGGTTGCAATTCTAAAGGCTGGGGTGGGGTGGGGGGCCCTTAGGAGTGGGACCAGGACTAGCAGGAGCACACAAAGAGGAGAAGGGAGGGAAGAGGCAGGGAGGCCGGGTGCCGGGGCTACTGGCCGGTGGGGAGCACTCACAGATGTAGGTGCTCAGCAGACGCTTGCTGAACTCGGAGCTGTAGCTGGTGGCGGAGGAACTGGTCTCTGTGAGAGGAGAAGTCCTGTTACCGCAGCGGTGGCAGTGGCCAAGACCCTCTCTGGCCTCCCTTCGGCCCAGGGAGCAGCTGGGGAAACCCTGGGAGGGGCCGGAGGCTTCCTCGGACAGAGCTGTGTATATCTTGAGCTACGGGGCTCTCTTCCCACCAAGGGGAGTGCTTCCCAGGACTCTTCCTGGAATCCGGGGAGGCCCCTCCATGGTCTTGGGTGGTGGGGTTAATGAGCTGACCCCCAAGGACCAGCAGAAAGATGGGCAGGATGGGCGTGGGGACAGCCCCTGTCCCCGACCCATGCTGGATGGTACCTACAAGGCCCACGTATCCAATGTGTTAGCAGCAGAGTTTTAGAATAGGCTCCTGATGGCCTCTTCACCTTCTCCCCTACCGCCCATAACCTCCTCTACCAGACCAGAGGTGTCCTGCCCGCAGAGGGCAGAAGGCCAAGGAGGCGGGGAGTGGAGGAAGGGGACAGGGAGGTGCTGGACCAGCCCAAAGGGTGTAGTCAGGGTGCTGGGCACAGCAGGATGCTGTCTGCAGAAGCCCAGAGACAGAAACTGGTGGTCAGGGAGCTGAGAAGGTCAGGAGCACCCTGAAGGAACCCGTGCCCCTCTGACCCCGCTCCGACTGGGGCCCTGAGCCTGTCCAGAGGCCTCTGTCCCCAGGGAACCTCACCCACGGGGCTTCAGAGAGGGAGGATGGGGCTGCTGAGCCCTGCTGCTTACCTCGGGGGTCTAAAGGAATATTGTATGTGTCCCCAAGAACTACGCAGCGAGAGGCAGTGCGCACAGAGGGGAGGGGGGAGACAAAGGAGGAAGAAAGATGCAAAAAGTGCAAAACAGGTTAGAGACGCGGCCACCACACCCGGGCCAAGCAGCCCACGCCCCGCAGCGCCGGGCCAGACAGCAGGCAGCCCAGGCTGGCCCCGCGGGCCAGGGGCTCGCTGGAGAGTGGGCATCGGGAGAACAATAGGCCAGAGGCTGCCCCCCCGGAGGCGGGCTACGGGAAGGCCCAGGGCTGGTCTCAGCGCGCGCCTCCCCACGTGCTGGCTTCCCAACCCCATCACGGACAATACCAGGCTGGCCCTGAGATGCCAGCCAAGCCCGCTCAAAGGCTCAGCCGTGTGAGACCAGGTAGGAGGACAGGCAGCGCAAGAGGAGGTGGGGAAATGCAGAAGGAGGGGGCAGCGGGGCAGGAAAGACACCTTCAGACAAGTGGGTTCTGCTCTCCAGGGCGAGGACAGCAGAGGGAGCCAGGAGGGGACGGAGGCCAGGGCAGGTGGTCAGACCCCCGCTCTCCTGATGCTGGGTCCGATGGCCCAAGAGGCTTGGGAGGGGGGGGTCCCACCACAGGTCACATCTCCTTTCCACCCCCCAGGGTGAGGGGAATCTCCTCTTCCAGAGAGGGCCACTGCCCCCTGGGGGGTTAATCCCAAGTCTCCAGCCTGGAGGGAGGAATGGGTGGAAGGGGTGACAAGGGAGATGTGGGCAGGGGATTGACGCGGGAGCCTTGGTTGCCAGGCTGAGGATTTGCAGGGTCCCCCTGAGGACTGGGGGCTGGTGTGGGCAGTCCAGGGCAGGGAGAGATGAGAGCACCAGGCCAGGTGAGAGGCTGTCCTGGGGGCCCTCTGGCCTCAGAGGGTGAGGCCTGCAGCAGGCTGCTATAATGGGCATGGAAAGGCATTGGAAGGTTCCAGGCCCTTCTAAAGGAAAATCGAATGGGGAGAGTGGGCCATCAGGAAGGGGCGGGGTCCAGCGGTTTGGCCTGCGGCTCCTAACATGGCTCAGTTCCCCTACACCTCTGCCTCACGACTGTGCCACACTCTGAGAAGCAAGGATAAGCCAGGAGACCAAGCCAGGGGTCAGCACTGCCCAGGACAGGGGCCATGGTTGTGGGGTGGGGGGGGGTGGGGGGCGTGGGGGGGCCCCCACTGGGAGGTGTCAAGTACCTTGGGAGGCCAGCATGGCACCCGCTGTCTCCTGGAAGTCCAGGAGCTGTTGCAGGAAGAGGATGGCCTGCGTGGGGAGAAAGCGGGGCCAAGGAGGTCAAGGGCAGGACCCAAAGGCTGGATCAGCCCCCACGGTGCATCCCTTCTGACCGTTCCAGGACAGGTGAGGGCAGGCGTCTGCCTGGTGAAACGGGTGTCAGCAAGCTTCCTGCTTCACCCTGTGGGTCTGGCCTCTGGGGAAAGGCCCTGTCTGCAGGGGGCACTCAGCACTCCCAGCCCACCTGCCAACCGCACCCCAGGAGCCCCGGCAGCACCTACGTTGCTCGTGAGCTCGTGCACGGTGCCGTCCTTGGGCATGTTGTATTCCTTGTCTGGGTCGTTCTGTGGGAGAGACAGCCTGAGTCCCTGCAACAGCTCCTAAGCAGGCCCGGAGGCCACCCCGCGCCCCAGCCTGTGGGCCCACAGCGCCACCTCCTGGCGGACGAGTGTCAGGACACCCCCAACGGGCACAAAAGCGAACAAGTCGGACCTACAGGAGCTGATGCCTCCGGTGGGGCCTCTGGAGCCCCTGGGAAAGAAAGGGAGGCCCATGGGTACTGACAGGCGACTGGCAGCATGGCCGGCCGGCTTCCCTTCAGGGCAGGCCCGCCCCGCTTAGAGGCCTGCTCTCAGAAGCGGTTCCTGAGCCCGGTCGCCAGTGGCCCTGCCCACAGCCCCGCCAGCCGGCCTGGGTGGCGTGGACAGAGGAAGGGCACCTTGATGTTGTCGGCGAAGTCCTCCAGCGCTTTGGCTCCCACGGTCTCCATGGAGGTGATGAGGCTGGGCAGCTTGTTCTTGGTGCTGGCGGCCGTGCCCTGCGGATGTAGCCGCGTGGCTGCACAGGGTTCCAGAGCCCTTCGCCTTCCCAGCCCCCGCCCTGGGGACTGTCTCTTCTCACTCCCTCGAGAGCACCTCCACCCACCCAGGGCTCCGGGGAAGCTGCCACTGCTCCCCCTCTGAGCAAAGGCTGGGGCCAAGAATGCGGTTCTTCCGGGAGGCCCTGCTAGGCGGCGTCCCCAAGGGTTCCCCTGCTCCCACGTACCTGGAGCACCTGGTCAAACTCAGGCTTGGTCTGCTTGAGGTGCCGCAGAATGGGGAAGACGGTGAGCACAGCCGAGAAGTCGTGTCGGATGATGGCCTTGCGGGCGGCCACCACAATGTTCTCGCCTTCCAGCATGAGCCCGTCCAGAGCGTCCTGAGAGAGGGGGGCAGGGGCAGGGCTCAGGGGAGGGGCAGCCAGCTGGCTCCCACGGCCGGTGAGGGCACCTGGAAGGGTGTTGGGGGGAGTGTACCTCCAATCAGGACACACCACCCAGTTCAGAGGCCCCAGGATCGGGGTGGAGGCAGTGGTTGGAGTTAAGGGCTATGAACCTGGCTTGGACTCAAGCTTCTGCAGGGACAGCTCTCACTTGGGGCGTCTGGTCGGGGCGGGGCGGGGCCAGACCTGTATCAAAGAGTCGAAGGTCTTTTTCTGATGGTGCTCAGGGATGACGTCCGTCAGCAGCTGGTACTCGCTCTGGGCCAGCTTGACAAAGGCACTGACGCAGTGAATGTAGGCATCGGTCTCCACGTCCAGCATGTCGTCTCTCCCTGGGAGGACAGTAGGGCCCCTGAGCTACTGGTTTGGGGTAGCCCCTCTCCCTGCTGGGGTGCGGGCCGCGAATCTCTCCAGCTTCTTGGCTGCAGCCAGACTGGCAGCAGATGGGAAGACTGCTGGCAGAAAGCTGAGAGGACTCCAGCAGAGCCGCCAGGGTTGGAGGGGGAAAAACAGGGGCTGAGTCCAGCCTTTGTCTGAGCTTCATTTTCCGCTCTGCTGTGGGCAGTATAACCGTCCCAGAGTGTCAGGTACAGGAGATGTGGGGGAGATGGATTCAAGGACAAGAAGACCCTTCAGTCGACTTCCCATGAGAACACACACCTGACCTGACCCCAGAACGGGGGATTCTGAACTGTACTGGGGAGATGACACCCAGGGATGGGCAAGTGGCAATGTCCACCCCGAGGAGGCGGGTGTCATCTCAGAAGATGCTGGGCCTCTGAAGGCAGACACCGGCCTGACCAGGCCTTCTGGAATGTATGAAAAGGCGGTGGGCCCTGGTCTCTGAGGCCAGCTGACATGGAATCAAAGTTGGAGAGCAGGCCACATGAGCCCCAGAGGGAGGGTTGCTTGGTCGTCAGCTGCCCCTGGAGGAGCGGGGGGTCTCTCCACAGTACTGGAGGCTGGGGCAGTGGTGTCTGCGGGCGACTGGATGCTACGTGCCAAGGGACGGGCTCTGAGGGGGTCAGAGTCTTGGAGCTGCTGCTGGAGTCAGGTGCGGGTGCTCGCTACCCTCCAAGGGGGCCACCTGCAGCTCCTGCCCGCGGCCCAGCCTGCACTCCCATCTGGAGAGAGGCAGGGAGACCTAGTGCCCGAGAAAGGGAGAGACCGGGGAGACAGAGAGAGGCGAGTAGGCCTGGCTCGTCCTCGGAGCGGAGGCTGGCTGAGCAGCGGGAACAGGCCCTCCAGGGGGTGGCCGGGAGTGTGGCGGCGGCGGCCCGCGGGCTGGGCTGCGGTACTCACCGGCCAATGGCCCGGCCTTGTCGTTCAGGGCCTCGGACAGGTGCTTAACTCGGAAATCATGCTCGTGACCTAGCGAGACGTCAGCCGCAAACACAAGCAGCGTTTATCCAGGGGTGGGGTAGCTGCCTCTCGGGTTGGGGGCGAGGGGGCGTTGGGAATAAGCCCTCAATCTCCAGGGGGGATATGAGATGGGGTGTAGTGGGGGGCACTGGAGAGGGCTCTGAGCCCCTCCTCTGCCTCAGACCACCTCGGGAACAGCCGTTTCAAGCCTGACTTGCAGTGCCTAGACCACCCTTGGGAGCCGGTTTCCCCAAACCCGAAGGCTGAGAAAGCTGTGAGGACCGCAGAGGGTTTCTGGAGAGTTTCCGGCAGCCACAGAAGATCTGATGCTCAGCCCCAGGAGCTGTGTCTCACCGTATTTGGGGAGAGGTCCAGTTAGAGAAATGTCACTGCCCAATGAATGGGGACAGGCTCCTTTTGTCCCCCAGGGTCATTCTTTTGAAGGCGGACCTGGTCCACTGGGGCAGGGCTGTCCCCACTCTGATGGGAGACAGGGGGGACACAGGCTGCCCGTCTCCCACAGCACATGGTCCCCTTTCTGAAGGTGGGGGGTGGCAGAGGGCAGCCGGCTTGGTCCTGCCACTGCTGGTCTGAGCGTGAAAGGGCTGCCCGTGACAGAGAACTTTCTGTCTCAGAGTTCATACAGGAGACAAGAAAGACAGACAGGATGGGGAGGGGGCAGGAAGCCTCCGGGGGTGGGGCAGAGCCGCCGTCAGCCAGACAGGACTGGGCCGAGACCACAAAGGCAGCCAGCCACTGGGGGTCTGCGGCCCCAGGGGCCTCAGTTACCCCCCTGCCCCCCGCCCCTCTCAGGCTTGCGCCAGAGGCCCTTGGGGGGGCGGGTGGAGGCTCTGCCCTGCCACGGGAGTGGACACATGGTAGAGGAGGAGGGAACTGGAGAGGAACACGGGGTGATTACCTTCCAGAGGAATGAGGTTAGAGCCCCCCTTTTTCCCATCTAGACCATGCTGGGAATATTGTTTCAGAAGGTTCTGAGCCTTACGGATCGTCCCTGTCACCAGAGCCACACAGAGAGGAGACAAGAAGACCTAGGAAATGAGCAAGAGAAAACAGCAGCAGCCCTCCACCGGCCCCTTCCCCCAGGCCTGTACCCACCCCCAGCAGTGAGCACACCCGGTGGCCATCGCTTCCAGTGGGCCCCTCCCGGGACCACCGGAGGCCCTGCCGGAGGAGACATTTTGTTCCCCCAGGGGAGCTCCTGGTTCTGCCAGTGACCCTCATGGTTCTGGATCTGCGTTCATTTGAGGAAATGCAGCGGGTGAAGGAGATGAGATGGGCAAAGATCCACCAGGAGAAGCCAAAAATCAAAAAAAAAGAAAACAACAGTACTGAGTAGCACTTAGATTATAGGCCCTGGGACAGAGGAGCAAGTCATGGAGCTGTTGAGCCCAGAAAGGGAGATCCTGGGGACACCTCGAGGCCCTCAGTTCCTCTCCAAAGGGCAGGCCGAGTTCTCCGGGCATGCTCAGTGCCAGCAGCGGCCGAACAGTAGCCCACCGGAAGCAGGAAGCCCAGGAGGCGGTGAAAGGGGACTGGGCTCCCAGGGACAGCAGTGGGAGGCTTGGAGATCCAGAGGCAGAGTGGCCCACACACCAGGGGAGGGACCCGAACCATCAGAGCTCATCAGGGAATGACTCAAAAGCCAAGGAGAAGTTAACAGAGGCCACCACACAGAGAGCTGGAGGGGGAGGGCTGCAGGACAGGGGGCATGCTCTTGGCATGGGGGGAAAAAACCAACAGTTAGTATCACACGTGAGAACAATGAAAACAACACTGCAGTGCCCACAGCCTCTCGGGCCAGCTACCTCTACGGGAGCGAGACAGCTCAGGGCAGGACATGTGGGGGGAAATGAAACAGCATTCCAAACAGATGTGTGCAACTGCCTCGTTAGCAAAGCTGGGGGCAGGGGGGGCACCCGTGAGGGCAACTCGGGTCCCTCTCCCCTGGGGACTCCTGGATGCCCCCCCACCCCGGCATCTCTGAACACAGTGAGGCTGCTTGGGTCCTGGCAGCTCCCCAAAAGGCTGGGGGAGGCGGGACATTTCTCTCTGTGTGCACCAACCACAATTAGCTACTAACATGCGAGTCTGGGGCTCCGGTTCAGCATCCATCTCGCCGCATTCTCCGTCTGCAGCGAGCGGCCACACTAATGAGCCAATTGGTTTCCTGCCCCACAGCTGAGGGGGAGCAGATGGGCCTGCGCGGCCTTCAGGAGCCTCGCCAGCACGTCTGTGTGGATGTGGGCTGGGGACATTGATCTGGCAGCCGCCAAGCCCATCAGGTGCCCAAGTAACCTCGGACAATGCTGAGGTCGGTGTCTGATTACCCACTGCGCCTCCCAGCTTCGCTCCTCAAGAGCTGGGAATCATGTCCTGGGGGCCTGCCTCCCTAGTTTCTGACATCAGTTCTGAGCCCCCCCCCCAACCCCCAGCTCCTGACAACTCTTGAAACCCCACGGAAACCAGAGGGACCCTCACAGCTACAGTCCTCTCAGGAGGCTCGAAGCCAAGCCTGCTTTAGGTCCGGCGGGAGATCCCCCGCAGGGCCAGCAGTGCTCCTGGATGCAGTCCGGGTCCTGGGGTGCCCGTCGGAGAAGAGAGAGAGGGGAGGAGAGCGCAGGCCTGCCGAGGCCCGAGGAGCCCCACAGCCTCACTGAGCCGAGGCAGAGAGATGGACAGGCCCATGTGGCAGGCGGCTGCAGCCACGCAGGCAGCCTTAGCAGAGTTTGCAGTCAGTTCTCCCGGGGGGGCGGTCAGGACATCCACACTAGAGGGGAAGGTCCCCCGGCTTCTCTCATGCCCTGCCCACTGGTACCCTGCCTAAGGGCAGCCTCTGCTCTGCCGCATCTCCAAACCCTGAACAAAGGCCTGAGGAGGAGCGGGTTTTCAGGGCAACCTGAACAGGCAACCCTGCTCTCTGAGGGGCAGGGAGGGAAAGCGCTGTCACGAAGGACGGTCCCACCAGTGCCTCGGGGCATGTGCCGGCACCAGCAGCTGGACTGGGTGGGCTGAGGCAGGAGCAGACCCCGGCCTCACTGGTGCGCTCTCTCTCCCTGGGGTCTGCAGCGGTCCCTCACCCCGGAAGACCCCAGGCTCTCAAGGGCAACATCTCTCAGCAGCTAGACACAGCCAGGCTTGCCAAGCGGAAGATGACACACGGGGACAATGTTTACCTAGAGCACAGATTACGGGGCACACGATGCCGGGAAGAAGGCCAGACAGTGAGCTGTTCGCCCAGGACACCCGAAGCCCAGGCCTCTCGCACCTCAACGACCCTCCCCCGACTCCCCACGGCTGGACACGAGCTTCGAGTGGAACCCAAAAGCCCGACTGTGTCCTTCGGCGAGGATGGCCTGGATTTTTTTTTTTCCTGGATGGATGGACTGTGAGAGTACACTCTCCCCTCTCCACTTTTTAACTACGTATCACGTCATGTGGCCTGGGCTTCCTGGAAGGTGAAGGCTGCCGTGCCTGCCCCTGGCCCATTCCACGGTTTTGGTGGTGGCGGCAGGCCTGGCCTTTCCACAAGATGATGGAGGGAGTTCCAGGGTGCCCAGCGAGTGGCTAACCCCGCACACCCATCAGCCCACCTCCCCAGGCCTGTGACCCTCCGCTCCAAGGACACTTAGGCAGCCCCAAGACTCGCGAAAAAGGAGCTCACTGGAGGCCTTGCTGGGTGGGCAGACACCTGCTTTCTGTCCTGTGTACCTACAGTCAGGGGTACTGTGAGGACAAGCTCTAGAGGGGCCGACGCTGCTCACCCCAGGGGGGGCCTGGGCAACCCAGGTCCCACGTGGCCCTCTGGATGGTTCTGAGGTGGGTCGGGTGGGGGCTCACCTGGCCGCTTGACTGGCTTCTTGGTGGGTGTGTCTTTCCTCTTGTTGGGGATGGCGGGGGAGTAGGGGACCCCGGAGGAAGAACTGCTCTTCCGGAAATGCTCCTTCAGGCCTTTGATGGAGCGGTCCAGCTGGCTGGAGCGGATCTGGTAGTAGACGTTCATGAAATCTGAGGGGAGACAGGCGACAGATGAGGTCCCTGACCCTGGCCCAGGAGCCTCCCTCTCCCCTCCAGACACAGCTCCTCAGGGCAGCAGTGGGTACCTGCTATTGCTACCTGCGAACCTCTTCCTAGCAGCCCCCAATGCGTCCTCGTCCCAAATCAGGCAAAGTCTTATGAGGGAAACTATCCCCCAACAGAACCAACAGTTAGCTGTGAGTTTTGTTTTCTGTTGTTTTTTTTTTGCTGTGCCACACAGCATGTGGTTCTTGGTTCCCCGACCAAGGATGGAATCCGTGCTCCCTACAGTGGAAGCAGGGTCCTAACCACTGGACCACCAGAGAGCTCCCTTTGAAAGTAAGGTTTTTTTATTTTTTATTTCATTTGTTCATTTTTGGTAACACCTCGAGGCTTGTGGGATCTTAGTTCCCAGACCAGGGATTGAACCCAGGCCCCCAGAAGTGAAAGCAGAGTCCTAACACACTGGACTGCTAGGGAATTCCTGGTTAAATTTTTTTTAGATTAAAAAAATACAAACTTGACAGCCAGCTTCAACTTCGTAAGAGGTCAAAGGATGTGATTTCTGGGTGGGGAAGATGCCCTGGAGAAGGGATAGGCCCAGTAGGCTTGGTCTTCCCTGGTGGCTCAGTCAGTAAAGGATCTTCCTGTAATGTGGGAGACTGGGGTTTGATCCCTGAGTCAGGAAGTCCTTCTCCCTGGCGATGGAAATGGCAGCCTATTCCAGTATTCCTGCCTAGATAATCCCATGGACAGAGGAGCCTGGTGAGGTAAAGTCCATGGGGTTGCAAAGAGTCGTACATGACTTCAGCGACTGAGCATGCAAAGGATGTGAGCAATGTATAGGCAGTAAAGAGACTATAAATGTCAGTAAATGAAAAAAACAGATCATTCTTTAGCTGTGAATGAAGTGAAAATTTTAAAAAACTAGAGGATCATGATAGCCCAGTCAAATAGCTAAGATAAATGAAGTTAAGGAAGAACAAACAGCTGGAGGATTGTCCACCGGTCAGTCCACTGGCCCCATCTGCCCGGAGAGGAACGTAAGATGGCAAGAAGGTTATAGATCTACTCAGACAGCTCTACCTGATAACTGCACCTTTGAGAAAATAACCCAAAGAACTTCCTAAATAAGAAGAGCAAGCAGTACAAGCATGTTCACTCTGGCACTTTATCAACACTGGAAAATTAGAAAATAAAAAAAGTTCAAATGAGTGAGGAAAAAAGATACAGATGCCATGGTACACTTCAGCAGCTCTGAACCAATGTGTCACCAGCATGAAAAATGGACCAAAGCACAGAGGCTCTGGCTGAAGGAGGCAGAGGGGTCTGGAGGCATCCACTGGCCTCCCTTATCTCAAGTTGAGCCCCTGGATCGCTCCTGCCAACCCCTCGGCTCCCAGAGTGCAGTTCGTGAGCCACAGACAAGCCTGTGTGGTTGGTACAGGCAGCCCTGAGACCTAGTCCTCGAGAAGGAGGGGGACAGTGATAAGGCACAGTGACAGTTGGTACGTGTACACACTACCAAAGGGAAGAAGAATGTGGAGGACTAAGTAGCTTAACATTGAATATTCATCAGTTTTTCTAAATTTTTGCTTAACTCAAGAGTTTTTTTTAAAAATCCTGGGACACAATGTTCATCGGAGCACTGTTTATAATAGCCAGGACATGGAAGCAACCTAGATGCCCATCAGCAGACGAATGGATGAGGAAGCTGTGGTACATATACACCATGGAATATTACTCAGCCATTAAAAAGAATTCATTTGAATCAGTTCTAATGAGATGGGTGAAACTGGAGCCCATTATACAGAGCGAAGTAAGCCAGAAAGATAAAGACCATTACAGTATACTAACACATATATATGGAATTTAGAAAGATGGTAACGATAACCCTATATGCAAAAAAAGAAAAAGAGACTCAGATGTATAGAACAGACTTGTGGACTCTGTGGGAGAAGGCGAGGGTGGGATGTTTCAAGAGAACAGCATCGAAACATGTATATCTAGGGTGAAACAGATCACCAGCCCAGGTTGGATGCATGAGACAAGTGCTCAGGCCTGGTGCACTGGGAAGACCCAGAGGGATGGGGTGGAGAGGGAGGTGGGAGGGGGGACCAGGATGGGGAATACATGTAAATCCATGGCTAATTCATTTCAATGTATGACAAAAACCACTGCAATGTTGTAAAGTAATTAGCCTCCAACTAATAAAAATAAATGGAAAAAAAAATAAAAAAATAAAAAATAAAAAAAAAATAAAAATCCTGGGACAGGCCAAAGAAATGATGGGACCAACACACCACAGAATATTACACAGCTGTCAAAAAGAATGAAGCAGATATACATGTACTGTTATGGAATGCTCTCAAGGCATGTCACTAAGTTAAAAAAAAAAACCAGAAAACAATTTTCAGAGACTGTTTAGTGTGCTTCCTTCCACCTGGGAATGAGGGGGAGACAGCCACATATTTACTCTCTCACATACAAACAAAGATTTTTTTGGAAGGGTGTAAATAACCTTAACAGCACTCATCTTTGGGTTATGTTGTAGGCATCAGGGAAGTGGGGAGGTGAACTTCTGTTTTCCACCTAAACCTTTCTGTGCCATTTGAAATTTGTATAATTAATTGAAGAAAAAAAAAGGAAAGAAACAGGAAAGGAAGGTATATAAAGAAACGCTTGGATTTGCTAGATTCACAATTTGACACATACGCTAGGGATTTACGGCTCACAATGCTTCCTACTAAACTCCTTATCAAAGACATGCAAGTGGATTAAACCAAGGGGGGGCCCACTCCCTCTGGCCTGCCGCCAGCGCCCGGACCGCCTCACCTTGGTTGCGGCCGTATTCCACCAGCCAGCGGGAGATGCGGACCACGTCGTGCAGCACGCTCTCGGGCAGGTGCTCCAGGGGCACCTCCTCCTGGAGCTCCAGGTCCTCCTCACCACCGATCAGATCCAGGATGAGCACTGGGGACACCACCTTGCTGTGCCGGGTCATCAGGCTGCGGAACTCGGACTCCAGGGACTCCTTCCCCCGCTCAAACAGCAGCTTCTATGGGGCGAAGGGAGACAAGGAGGGAAAGATAAGGGTCCTCAGCTGCTCCAGCACTCAGCCAGCTCTCGCCTCCCCATATCCTTCCTTTCCCTTCCTGCTTCTGGGGCTCAGGCCTCCTCCACCTTCACTTCCTTTTTCCCAGAGAAGAAACGCTCGGAAGCCTTCCTTGATTATTTCTTTCCCTTGTGTTCTCTTAAAATGTATGCTTGCAGGTGAAACCCAGAGTTTTACAAGAAGTAGGTGCTTACAGGCATCAGCTGATTATTTTCTCATTCCACCATTAATTTGTGTCCTTGTTAGAAAAGCGTTTGCAAAAGAAAAAAACACAGTTAAATTGGATGTCAAAAACTTTTGTGCTGAAAATGATGCCATCAAAAAAGTGAAAAGAGGGGGACTTCCCAGACTGTCCAAGGCTGAAGACTCTGTACTTCCACTGAGGGAGGCAAGGGTTCAATCCCTGGCCAGGGAATTGAGGTCCTGAATGCCATGCTGTGAGCCCCCTCCACCCCAAAAAAGTGAAAAGACAATCCATAGAATGAGAGGAAATATTTGCAAATCATGTATCTGATAAGTGACAGGTATTCAGAGCAGATAAGAGAATCAAAAACACGCCCACACAAAAGTATGTACACAAGTGTTCATAGCAACTCTGTTCATAACCACCAAAAAGTGGAATGATCATCAAGTGATGGATGGACAAACAAACTGTGGTAGATCCATAGAATGCAATACTATCCTGCCCACTATTCCATCCCACAATGGAATGAAGTGCTGACACACATTACCACACAGATGAACCTTGTAAACAGGCAATTTGAGAGAAGCTAGATTCAAAAGGTCACATACTGTGTGATTCCATTTACAGAAGTCCAGAATATGTAAAAGTACAAAGAAAACAGCTGAGGGAGTACTAGTGGCGGGGTGAATGGCGGAGGTGAGGGAAGAAGAGTGACTGTGAATGTGTTTCTTTTTACAGGGGATGAATATGTTATGAAATTTATTCCAGGGATGTTGCATGACTCGGTGATTATTAAAACTACTAAATTACTGATTACTAAAACTACTAAGTTTTATACTTTAGATGAGTAAAATTTTGTTGGTATGTGAATTATATCTCAATAAAGATGCTTTAAAAATAGAGGAGTTGGAGTGTTTCTGCTTACTTGAAAAGTAAGTCCTCTAGGGTAAACCCAGAGTTATAGATTTTTTGTCTTCTCCTTCTCTAGACCACTCCCATGCCCAATTCTAGCACAGAGCTCATCATCTGTGATCTGAACTTGGTAGAGACCCTCAAGAACAAAGTTCTCCAACCCCTGACATTCCAATCTCTGAGTCGAGGCTGCCCACTGATGGGCTGCAGTATACTGGTTATACTGGTGTGTCCCCTCTGGGTTACTGGTATGACAATGGACTGATCCTGTCAGTCTTCTGTGTAGCCAGGTGGCAATGGTTATACAACAACATGAATGTCACTGAACTGTTCCCTTAAAGGTGGTTAAAAATGGTAAATTTTATATTATGTATTTTTCACTACAATAAAAAAAAACCCATGCATTTATAAAAAATCAAATGTTAAATTTATATTTCATAAGTAAGTTGTAATGTGTGTTCTCTGGTGGCTCAGTGTTAAAGAACCTGCCTGGTGCTTGCTTCGGCAGCACATACACTAAAATTGGAATGATACAGAGAAGATTAGCATGGCCCCTGCGCAAGGATGACATGCAAATTCGTGAAGAGTTCCATATTTTTACAGATCACCAGCCCAGGTTGGATGCATGAGACAAGTGCTCAGGGCTGGTGCACTGGGAAGACCCAGAGGGATGGGGTGGGGAGGGAGGTGGGAGGGGGGATCAGGATGGGGAATACATGTAAATCCATGGCTGATTCATGTCAATGTATGGCAAAACCCACTACAATATTGTAAAGTAATTAGCCTCCAACTAATAAAAACAAATGAAAAAAAATTAATTAAAAGGTTAAAAAAAAAAAAAAAGAACCTGCCTGCCTATGCAGGAGATCTCTGGGTTGAGAAGATCCCCTGGAGAAGGAAATGGCAACCCACTCCAGTATTCTTGCGTGGGAAATCCCATGGACAAAGGAGCCTGGCAGGCTACAGTCCATGGGGTTGCAAAAGAGTCAGACACAACTCAGCAACTAAACAACAACTTATAATTTAGTTAAATTATTAAAATGCAATCAAAATATATACCTGTAATTCCTGAAACAGAGATTTTAATGTCTGTAGTATGTGCATAGTACTATATACTTCTGTTTATTCTACTATATTATCTTTCAGCTGCTTCAGCTGTCACTCATGAGACCCAGGCAGGGATTGGTGTCTCCCGACCTCACACATCACTCTGCTGGCCCCTTACCACTTTGTTGAGCTCTGGGCTGTCTGGGCTATTGTCCTGGAAATACTCCACAGCCTTCTGAATCTTGGCCATGCTTCCCAGGTACTCCTCTAGCCTACCTGTGGGGCTGGAAAGGAGAAGAGCCATATTAGCCTGGGCAGATGGAAGATAAAGAGGAAGGACTAAGGGAATGGTATTTGAAAATGGGAGAACAGAATTAACACTGGGGACTCCAGGCTCATATATATTCTACCCCCTCTTCCAAAGCCCAATGGTCCAAGAGGCGTTAGGAATGTGACCCTCTGGCCCAAGCTCACCCCTCCCTGATGATCTTCTCAGTGTCACTGGCCACATGATAGTAGCTGATGACGTGGTCCAGACAGGACAGGGTCTTCTCGACATTCTCCTGCAGCCGCTGCAGGTTCTCCGTCTGCTTGTGCACAGGGATGATGGAGTTCTCCAGCTTCATCAGGCGACTCTCAAAGGATGACAGGATAGACACCTGCGGGGGGAAGCCCCGTGCTCTCAGGCCTCAGGGTTGTCCCAGAACTGCTTCTGCCAAAACTGCCAGGTCTTCAGCATGCTACCTTTTCTCTGGTTTTCTAGACAGTAAGCTCCAAGAGGAGAGGGACAAGGTATACCTATCCCCCACTGTATCCCCAGGATCTACCACGTGCCTGGCAGATCAGAGGTGGCCCAAATAAATTGGCTGAAGTTCGATTTGAAGGTAAGGCAAGCATTACATTAACTCCTTAGAAAATCGCTTCAGGATAGCTTCCCTTCCACCCCTTAAAGCCAGATTTCAATTTCTGTTCTCTCTGATGCTTTCCTAGATTAAACAGGAACTAGTTTCATACAGAGTAGCCTCAAATGCATTCCTGGTACCTTCAAACCCCCTCTCTCTAAGGCTAAATCGCATTAAGTAAGGACTAGCACTTGATGACTGTTTTACTGAATACATACCCACATTTCTATCTACTACTCATTTTGGGTTTTCCAGTCTCTTTTAGGAATAAGAAAGGAAGTTCATATTTATTGAGTACCTATTGTATACCAGATACTGTGCAAGAGGCATTTCCATGCATTAGCTTCCATGACCTTCACAGCTACAATGGAGATTGGCATTGTCTATTTTAGCAGAGGAGGTAACTGAGGCTCAGAGTTACCTGTCAGGAGCCACACACAAATAAGTGGAGGGGCGAGGACTAGATTCCACATCTGTTTGATTTCTGGCTCATTTTACCCCTCCAGCTCCCCAGAGTGACAGCTGAGTCTCCTGCCCTCAGTAATCTCAGAAGTGTAACCCCTCCGGTGATACCCACACTTGAATTGAGGGTGACGCATGGCCAGTACCCAGCCCACTTAAGTAAGTCTCACTAAATGTTTGCGGAAGGAGAGAGATTAAAATGGAGAACTTAGGCAGAAAGCAGAAAGTCCAGGCCAGTGGGGGGCTGCAGCATCCTCAGCGAAGGGGCGGGCGAGGGGAAGAGAGTGTAAGAGAAGTGTAACACTGTTGCTAGAGAAACCCAGACGTTACCACCCAACACCACCCAGACCAGAACCCTCAGGCTTTAGGTACCAAAACCACTGGGTCGCAGGGTTCTCGCTCCAGCGTCTGGAGGCCCTCCCAGCTGAGGGGTTACTCACCATGTTCTTGGTGAGCTGGTCGCTCTTCTCCAGGCTGTCTCGGATGAAGGACAGCGTCTCCTCCTCCTGCGGGGGTGAGGGGAGGACATCACCAGAAGCTAGAGACCACCGCATCCCGGCTCCACAGCCTCGCCCCGACCCGATTTCCTGGTACCCGGCCCCCTTCCACGCCTGCTACCTCCCTGAGTAGACGCCCGGCCCGGATCTCGGCCCCTTCCCTCACCTCCCCGACCACCTCCCCAGCCCGACCTGTTTCAGCTTGTCCTCGATCTCCCGCCGCCGAGCGGACGCCTCCTGAGGGGGGATCATGACTTCGACCCTCCCTGCGTGTGGCTCCCACAGCCCAGCGTCTCCCTTCAGAAGGCCCTCTCGGCTCCCGTCCCTGTCACACCCACTTCCGCCCGTGGCCCCTCCCCGGTCGCGCTTGCCGCCATGTTGGGAGTGGCATGCGGAAGTTCGCCTGCGTGGAACTCAGGGACGGGGGACACGACAAGTGGCCATCTTGGGTGTGTCGGGGAGTTGCCGCTGGGTTTCATCTTGATGCGCGTTGCCACCGTCATCAGAGGAGGTTCTCTAGCGGTGTTTTGTCCCGCAGCTGGCACAACAGTTACAGCTTACTTGCCGTCTTCGTGGGAAGGCTGACTCTTTTCACAAAGATCAATAACAAATTCGTTTCTCTAGATTGGAGTCCGGATGCAGGCACAGATGTCGCGTTCCCCCGCAAAGCACAGCACAGAGCTTGTCACACAGCAGGCGCCTAATGTGTGTTCATTTAATGACCAAGGGGCCTGTCCCTCTTCGGTCCTAAATGCTCTCATGGAATGGGCCCTGTGTGCAAGTCCTGGCCCGGGCAAGGAATGGTCGCCCATGGCCCCAGCGGCATCCACAACTACAATCCCGACTTGTGAGGGGCTCGGCCAGATTCCTGGGGTAGGAGGAGTTCTAGGAGCACTCATCCCGGGCACTGGAATGGGGCCAGAGAGGAGCTCCTAGCTCCACACTAAGGTGTCTGTTTTGGAGAGAGATACATGGTTTTATTTGCTGGGGGCAAGGGCCGGGCCGGGGGTAGAGAGTGGCTTCAGCGGTGTGTTTTCCCAGGTCTGAAAACAGTGCAAGGGAAAGGCTGAAAAAGCCCAGACCTGTCCGAGGAGTTGGGACCCAGGTGGTGTTCTCGGTGATGGAGACGTTGAGGCCTGTCTGCGGGTACTCAGACACAGGGTAGCGTTTCTCACAGTGCCTCTGGGGAAATCAGAAGGGCTTGGAGGGCTGGTAGGGACCCTCCTGCAAGGTGCCAGAATGTCTCAGCTCCTTTGCCCAGAGTCTCCTCTCATTAGTTCCGGGCCAGCCAGGGGTAGGGAGGTGGCCCTGGATCAGGGTTCCTGCAGGGATGAATGTTCTGGATTCACCACAGACACAGCTCCTGCAAAACCTAGTGTCACTCCCTCCTCCATTGCAGAGGCTCACCCTGCCTCTGGTCCTACCCTGGGGTGGTAAGTGGCTGCGCAGCTTTGTTGAGGCATCCAGGTACAGGAAGACAGACAATGAAGCATATGCTGGTGGGTGAGAAGGTTTGGGGGGCACCAAGTTATAGGGTTCCCAAGGCTCTCCCACGGCCCAGCTCCACAAAAAGGAGGAATAAGTGGGATTGAGCACCTGGAGGGGGATTGGGCAGCTTTCTGTTGGGGCAAGAGGACAGTTTCAGATCTGGTTGATGGCCGTGAAAGTACTGATGAAGGAAATAATCTGGGAGGCGCACCCCTGTTGCAGATGAGGGAGATAAAAACGCAGAATCCTTGTGTAAGGACACCTAGGATGACTCCATTGAGGTGGTCCTTGTGAAGTCCTGAGAACTAAGTGAAAGGAAAAGTTTAAATTGTTAGCAGCCAGAGAAAAGAAAAAGTGGACTAGACAGCTTTGGTGGAAAGGACTTTGGGCTCAGGTGGACCAGCCCTGATAGCTTCATTCAACACTTAACCCCTCTGAACAGCACCCAGCCCACAGTAGAAGCTCCAGAAAATATGAATAACTTCATCTCAAGAAGAAATCCTTTATGGCTGTGAACAAATACTTTGAGCTTTTTATTTCTCATTGCAATTTTGTAAACTATATACATGTGTGTTTTGTATTGTCTCAAATATCCTTCTCTAAGGGCAATTTGCTTGCTCCTTGTGAGGAAAGCTATGACAAACCTAGACAATGTATTAAAAAGCAGACATATCACTTTGTAGACAAAGGTCCGTATAGTCAGACATGTGATTTTTCCAGTAGTCATGTAAAGATATGAGAGTTGGAGCATAAAGAAGGCTGAGCATGGAAGAATCGATGCTTCCAAACTATGTTGCTGGAGAAGATTCTTGAGAGTCCCTCGGACAGCAAGATCAAACCAGTCAATCCTAAAAGAAATCAGTCTTGATTATTCATTGGCAGAACTGATGCTGAAGCTCCAATACTTTGGCTACCTGATGCGAAGAGCTGACTCACTGGAAAAGATCTGATACTGGGAAGGATTGAAGGCAAAAGAAGAAGGGGACAGTGGAGGATGAGACGGTTAGATGGCATCACTGACTGAATGGACATGAATCTGAGCAAACTCTGTGTGATAGTGAAAGTCGGGGCAGCCTGGTGTGATGCAGTCCACGGGGTCACAAGGAGTCGGACACGACTTAGCGACTGAACAACAAAGTGCAGTTTGGTAGCCAGCTCCCATGATTTGAGAGCCTTCTGTTTGCCCCGCTCTGTTACAGGCACCACCTTGCATTAGCTTGTCTGATCTTCACAATAAACTTACAAGTCAGGCACAGCTGTTCATCTCCCTTCTGCAGAGGAGGAGGGTCGGGTCAGAGAGGTCACAGCTCCGCTGAGTCAACACAGCCGGCCAGGAGACTGCTGTGCTCTGCCTCCCCAGGCTGGGTAGCTTGGGAGTTCTGCATGCTGTTATGCAAAGCTGTCAATCTGACTTTCAAGAGAACCCATTGTGAAATGTGAATCCATTATTATATTTATAGCAGCCATATCTAGTAAAGAGTAGATAGGAAAAGAATGAAAAGATGCGTTGTTTATTTTTTTTCAGGTGAGCTTTAACATTATTTTCACACTGTAAGCTGAATGTGCTCTGAGTAAACTGGTTTGAATCAAGGTGGTGCGGCCAATGTCCGCCCTCTCCCAGGTCCGAGGCCAGGCTGGGCCAAGTGGGACAGGAGGGGGCGCCCGATGCCCATCGGTACCTTTCCACCGCGCCCCCTGGAACCTCCGAGAATGTCCAGCGGGTGCAAGAAAAAGAGGAGAAAGGCCGAAGACAGGGGGATGGATGGGTAGAAACAGAAAAGGAGGTGGGGGGGGCAAATGGGGCGCTGAAAAGGAGAGGAACGCGGGCAGCAAATAAATGAGGAAAACTCGAGAGGGCACGGAGGAGAGAACGTGCAGGAAGACGGGCACAAACCGCGGGCTGGGGGGGCGTTCCGGGCCTTTCTGCGGGTGCCCCCTCCCCCTATTCCCCGAACCGGCGGGCGGCGGTGACGTCAGGCGCTGGCACCCACTGCACTTCGGCCCGAAACTCCTAGCAACCGAGGACGCTAGTGGCCGGGAGGTTGGCAAAGAGGGATGCCGGGCGCCCCCGCAGCCCCGCCTCCGCGCCCCCGCGCTCTGCAGCCTCGGGCGCGCCCGCGCGCTCCCACAGCCCCGCGCCCCAAAGGCGCGGCTCTCTGGGGGCCGTGTGCCCTGAACGTGACTCAGCGCTTTCTCTGAGCCTCTGAGCGCCCCCAGGCCGGCTGGCTTTGGACTTGGGGGAGTGGAGACCCCAGCCGGATGGATGGACCCACGGCCTCCCTCTGCCTTCGGGCAGGGGCCTAGAAGCACCCCCACACAGGCCCTCCTGCGAGGCAGGTGGATCTTTGTGGGGAGGGGGCAGGTTAAATCGTTTGTTCATTAGCCTCGGGGTTCCTGTAGGCAAGGAGAGAGAAAGGGAGGGGAGCCTTCTTTAAGGGGCTCACAGCCTGAGCAGGGTGCCCTGGACCCCTTCTGCTGGCTTTTAAAAATTAATTTATTGTCTCCAGTTTTACTGAAAAGTAATTGACATACATCAGTGCATAAGGTGTACAGCATGGTGGCTGAGTTATATATACAGCTAATCCTTGAACAGCAAGCATGGGTTTGAACTATGGGAGTCCACCTGGACTTTTTCCAGTGAATATACACTAGGATAGTACGCAATAGAACAGTGGATTGAAAGGGCCAACTGTAAAGTTATATGGGAATTTTCCACTGCCCTAGGGTCAGTGCCTCTAACCCCTGCTGTTCAAAGGTCAACTGTATTGTGAAATGATTACCACAATAGGTTTAGTTGTCATCCGTCATCTCAGATAGAATCCAAAGTAAAGAAAAAAAATAGTTCTCCTTGTGATGAGAACTCACTCAGGATCTACTGGGTTAACAACTTTTCTATCACAAAGCAGTGTTAACTGGAGTCGTTGTGTTGTAAATTACATCTCTCTTGTTTATATGATAACTGGAAGTTTGTAGCATTTTAACCACCTTTCTCCAATTCCCCCTCGGCCCACCCCTGCTTCTGGTAATTACAAATATGATCTTTTTCTATGAGTTTGGTGGTTTTTCTAAATGCCAAATGTAAGTGAGCTCATTCAAGTGTCTTTTTCTTCTCTTTTCTTTTTTTGAACACACTGCTCGAGGGATCAAACCTGTGCCCCCCCTGCAGTGTGGAGTCCTAACCACTGGTCCACCAGGAAATTCCCCAAGTGCACTCTTGGGACCCACTTGCTCTGTGATTTTGGTCTTCTATTGTGTGTGTGCCCACCACTCCATGGAGGAGTCCTCCCATCCCTCAGGTATTCATTGAATGAATGAATGAGCAGAGGGACCAGTGATCAGCATATGCAGTTCTCCATGTATACCACCTGCGGGGCAACACACACAATCACATCTTCAACAGGGGCTTTTTTTTTTTTTCAGGGGCTTTTTTAATAAGGCCAAGGAGAAGGGGTGAGCTGGGAGGCAAGGCCTGGGGTCCCTGAGGGCAGGGAGGGCAGACTGAGCCTTCTTTCCCCTGGCTCTCCACAGTCTGCCCAGCTCAGAGCGCTGGCTTCTGGCTCTAAGTCACTGAGAAATGGGGCTTGCGCTCCCACCCCCTCCATCCGTTCCGCAATGCTCTGTTGAGCTCACACCATGCGCCACTCCCAGCTCCTGGCAGGTGCCATGGAGAACCAGGCACTGCCTCTGCCTTCCTGGAGCTCCCCATCCAGCAGGTGAGGCCCGCAATGCCAACATGGTGAAATCAAGGGCACTGGAGGATGGCAGTGAGTGGAGAGGTGGCAGAGGTCCAGGTGGGTCCCCCAGCCAATAGTGCCCAGGAGAAGCCAACCCATCTGTGCTGACATCCTCAGAGCCCTGTCCTCTCTCTGTGCCTCAGTT